ACGGGGGACCCCCCAAAACCCCCCAAACCCCACCCCAGGAGCCTCCAACTCACTTCTGCCGCACAAACTCCTCCGTCACCAGCTTCCGGACGTCGCCGAACACGCTGTGCTGCTTCCTGAGGACGGGGGTTTGTCAGGGTGGCGCCGACCCCCCCGTCCCGCGCGCGTCCCCCCCCGTGTCCTACCCTGGGTACACACGGAGCTGGTGCAGGAATTCCCACAGAGCACCTGGAAAAGGGGGTGCCCGTGAGCGGGGCGCCGGGCAAAGCGGGGCGCGCGGGGCTCTGGGACAGGACTCACTGTCTTTGACCGAGTTGCCCTTCATGAAGATGAAGCTGAGGATGATCAAGAGGAGCCCCATCTTCTGCTTCTCCTTGTCCCTGCGGCAGACATTGGCGTGTCACCCGTGTTGGGGGGGGGGACACGCTGATGGGGGTCTCGCCCCCACAAATCACCCGGGGGTCCCCCAGGAGCAGCCCCTCACCTGCACAGGTGCTCGCCCTGGGCACGGGGCAGGTTGTTGATGAGGATGAAGATGTGGCGCTTGGGGTCGATCTCCACCAGCTGCAGCCCGAACACCTGCGGGAGGACAAGGGTTAATCCGTGGGGTATCTCCCCCCAGCCCCCTCCCCTTCCACGCTGCCCTCACCTGCTGCAGGGTCCTGCCCGCCCTGTTGAGGATTTCCGAGTAGGCATCTCTGTATTCGCGGATCACGTTCTTCAGCATGTCTGTGTGGAAGGGAAGCGCTGAGGGAGCCGCAGCGCTCGGCTCCCCAAAGCCAGCCCCGTTCGGGATCCACACGCCGTGCAGGGGGCTCCTCTCAACGTACCTGCCCTCTTGATAGGGATCTTCTTCTGGTCCTTCACCAGCAGGAACTGAACCAGCTCGCTCACCTGTGAAGGAGCAGGGAAGGGCGAGAGCAGGCTGGCAACAGAGGGATGCAGACACAGCTCCGGGGAGAGAGGGGATCTCAATCCACCTTCTGGTTCACTTGCTCCTGCGAGTGCCGCTCGGTCTGGGTCGGGATGAAATCATCCTCCGCATCGTTCGTCTGAGCGGAAAGGACAAGGGAAGCGGGGAAATTGATGCTGGGGAAGGGACCAAAACCGAGGAGGACGAGAGGATGGGAGGAGCCATTTACGGGGAGAGTAAATGAGGGGAGAACGGGGAGGGGTCAGCCCCTCACCTGAGAGGAGCCGAGTCCTTTGCTGCGCTTCCGCTGGGACATCTTTCACAGCAGCTCTGAGAGGAACACAAGCACCGGGCGGCCTAAAAGCGCGACGAGCTCGCCCCTCAGGCCATCCCCCGCGTCCCACCCTCACCAGGGCCGCAGAGATCCC